TTTTATAGATCAATTCAGTAATTTGGAACGGTCCGTTCCAATTTGGGAACGGCCCGTTTTGGGTTACTGAATCACCTAACCTACTACGTTACAAAACCATCCATACTATTTGTTTACATTTATTGTGTATTAATATTTTGCCCAAAGTTATTCTTTCTAGCTTGTAATAAAAAAATAATTGTTCTTTTCTAAAAAAAATTAAAATTAAAATTAAAAAGGATTAATATAGTATGGATTTCATAATGAATTTCTGACTGCTTTTGTCCATCTCATTAGTTGAATGCCCTCATACTTAGAAAAGTGCAGATATTGTGCATTATAATATGTGTTTGAATTGATTTGGGCTCCTGCATGCATCCAGAACCTGGAGACTCTATTTAGGGATAATCACACAAGCCGATTTTGTAGGATTGAATTAGACTCAAATCTACTATTCTAACAATTTGATCACATTATTGACATTAAAAATTGTTTGTCCTATATCTAACCAATAACAGGATTTTAATTTTGAAGGCGAGGAATGATAATGTTGGCACATGTTACTTTTAAATAAACAACCCATGTCCTTTTTTCTTCCAAAAAAAACTCTTTAAAACAGACGAATTAAATATAATAATTTTAGAATACCTAATACTGAAAATTTAACATTTTCTAAAGAGATCGAAGATTCAAGTTGTACTCGGGGCTGTTATACTAATACCTACAATAATGCAAGTAATATCAGGAACACAATGCATTCAAGAAACAATTCATGCATTGGCTTTCGCAATGACCATATGATAAATACCATCAAAGAAAATAGTCACTAACGTTCAACTACTTAATCATGCATGTATGATGTATCTACTTTACACGGTTAAGTATTGAACATTACAATTACCTCACCATGTACTTTTCTCTTCTTCTATTACCTTTGTAGGTTAAGATCACGGAACCTATTGGTGATATGGACTTTGTATATATACGCAAATAATAGTTCAAAGAAAAGCAATTTCACTTCATAATTGTAAATGTAATGACCTTTCTTCATCCCTACAAACTACAAACACTTATCCTCCTGTGCTTCTTTTTAGTTTTGGAAATTCTATATAAATTTGATTTTTAAAAATATTAATTAAATTTGAATATGTTTTTAGTACCTACAAAATGAACAATTTTTAATTTTGGCCCTTGTGATTTTTTTTTCTTCATTCTTCTGAAATTTAAAACTATGTTTTTAGCCTCTATTATTATGTTATCATTGTTAACTATTTATGTATTTATTAGAAAGTCAAGTGATCATCCCAAGTAATATTCATAATTGTGTGATACTTTGTCAGCATATGACACTTTTAAAAAAATTATAGATTCTTAAAACAAATGTTATTTATATATTTATATATGATCAACAGTAAACAAAAATAATGACTTAAATTTTAGAGGATAGAAATAAAAGAAAAATATTTTATAGGAATCAAAACTAATTTTTATTTATTTTACAAGGATCAAAAATAATTTTACAAATTTTAGAAGCATGAAAAATAAAGAAAAAAAAATTATAAGAACCAAAATCAAAACTTGTAATTTGCACATATTATAAGGAGTAAAAACATATTTAAACTTATAAATTATTGTTTAACAAAAAAATTAATATTAAATCATTTTACTTTATATAATAACTTTATTTTATTTTTTAGTCTCATCCTCAATAAACATAGAAATAGAACACTAATAAAAGAACATAAAAATAGATTAATGAGTCACTAATTAAGTATACATTCAAGTCGATTTAGTTTCATCTAACCTCAACAATGAAATGTTTAGTAATTCATAAACAAATATAGAACAAAAATCCATCATAAATGGAGAAGGATGAAGAAAAGGCAACAAGAGAGCTCCAACTATCACTTCAGTCTCTAAATCTTTTCTTAGGTCAGAATTTGTGAAGTGTATTATATGAGACAACATCTTGAAATTTATTTTATGATATAATGTTAAAATAAAAATATTAAGGCTAAAATAATAATTTGGTCCCTTATAATATTTTAAAGTTTTAATTTAGTCTCACTTTAATTTTTGGTTTCAATTTGGTCCCCAATAATTTAAATCACTGCAATGTTGGATCTTCCGTCCAAATTTCTTAAACGGAATTAACTATTGACCACGTGGATGCCACGTAGATGCATAGGTGGCAAGGTCCCATGTGCTCCTCCTCCTCCTTTTTTAATGTACCTGGAACGGCCTGTTCTAAAACCAGAACGGGCCATTCTGGTTCCAGAACACCAACCACAAACGGTCAATGATTATAGTTCACGCCCGTGATTCTAAATCACGGTTGTGATTCGTGCAAAGAAAAAAAACCCAAGATACAAAGCATTTCAAACACTGGATTTGGTAATATTGTCAATGGGGGATTGATAACTTCAATTGCTAAATATTTGGGCTATACACCATTTCTGGACCAATTGCAGGATATAAGAGCTCCTAGAAGTATTAATTATAATATTTGTTATGCAATGCAGTGTATCACTAAGGACAATGGTGACATGTTTTATTTCATTGTTAGCCAAACTGGATGTGAACCACTTACTACCAAATCAGCGGCATTATACAGTCAAGGATGAAATGACATGGTTTTCTTTCCCTCCTCAGTAATTTCTTGAACTTTCTTAGTGTATGTTATGTTATAAATTTTTGTTTTCAGTCTCTGAACCATATATTTCAGTCTTTGAATTTATTTTATGTTATTAATTTTTTTTTTCAATCTTTGAACCACATTGCTGCATTTTGTTGAACGTATGTATCTGTTTGGCATTCTGGAACGACCCGTTCTAGTTGCACTTGTTGTGTGTTAAATAATGCATCTGGAACGTCTCGTTCCAGATGAAAATTTAACACACGACGAGTGCAAGCAAAACTGGTCGTTCTAATTTCAGACGGGACGTTCCAGATGCATTAAAGAAGGAGGAGGACATGAGACCTTATCACCTATGCATCTACGTGGCATCCACGTGGCCAAAAGTTAACTCCGTTTAAGAAATTTGGATGGAAGGTCCGACATTGCAGTGATTTAAATTATTAGAGACTAAATTGAAACCAAAAATTAATGTGAGACTAAATTGAAACTTTAAAATATTATAAGAGACCAAATTAGTATTTTAACCAAATATTAATTATTTAATTAATTTTTAAAATTTGAATTTATTTTAATTATGGTTTTTTAAAAAGATTTTAAAATGAAACAACATCTTGTAAGTGTTATAACATATGAATTTCACTCTATATCATAATTGAAATTTTATCCCCCAACTATATACTCCTAATTTTATTTACCTTTTACTTTTCATCTCTTTTATTTTATGTTTTAATTTTAAAAAGATGTAGGCCTGATTAGAAAATTTTCTCCATAAATGCTTCTAAACGAAAAAATATGAAGGAGAAAATAAAGAACTTTTTTCATGAGATAAAATTGACTTGGATATAAAAATATAATTTGGAAATACTAATATGAAAAAAAAATCTATAAATTAGTCATGCTTGAGTTAATTTTAGTTTTTGGATGAGCTTATTTCATTTTTTTTTTCTCATTTTTTCTCATATAAGTACTTACAGAAAAATTTATCTAAACATGTATAAAAATATTAGCATGATGGCAATAGTTTGGATAAAAAAATCAAATTTATTTAATATACAATTTACTGCATGTTTAAGAGATAATCTCCACACACATACAATAATATCAACAATTATCAAACCCAATGGTTAGAAAGAGAAGGAAAAAAAAAAGATTAATCTATAAATATTTTTAACATAATTCTTAGAATCAAATCCTTATTAAAGAAAATTAATTATTTCATATCTTTATTAGATGAATCACATTAAATCTAATAAATGAATATACTTTCTTGAGATTAAATATATTTTTAATTTCTAAATATTTTTAATTTTACTTTAATTTCCTAAAAAATAATGGATATTAGTTCCGAAACTCTTATTTTGTTAATATTTTTTGTCTCTATTATTAAGTACCATCGTTAAGTGAATATGTGACAGTCATATTAGTAGTCACGTGAATTGTCACACCATTAATAAATTTTATGTAACAATCACATGTAATTTTTTTATACATTATGTTTGTAGTCTTTTGTTTGTTCACAAAACTCACTTTTAATCCTTCAACTATTTTTTATTAGTCTTAGATTCTTAGTCCATCATCTTTTCATGAAAATCCTTTTTAGTCTTTGAATAACTTTTTGATTGGTTTTAGTACCTCGTTTATTATTACATCGACAATTACTTAACTTAGTTCCTCAACAAGTGAATTATTAAGTAATAATGTGATGATCATGTAACTTACCATGTGAATTACTAGTTTGATGGAGCAAATATGATAAAATTGTGCTAATTTGAGATATTTTCTAACATTTCAAACCAATAACATTTTATCATATGTCTATTATGTCAAATTAGTAGTTTACATAAGTCACATGGTTATCAAATCATCGTTTAATGATAATACCCGATAAAAAAGGTTAAAAACAATGATGTACAATAAATGAAAGACTAAGATCAATCTAAAAATTAAAAGTGAATCTCATGAAATATGAGAGACTAAGATTGTTTAAAAAAAAATTGTTGAATAACTAAAAATAAATTTCGTAAAATATGAGACTAAAAACATAATTTACAAAACAAAATTACATGTAGCAAAGTCAAACTTATTGATTATGTGATAGGTGACATGACTACCAACATGATTATCATGTCATTATACAATAGTGATACTTGAGTACAAGAATTGAAAATATTAAGAGAAAAATTTAGAGATTATAATTAGTTAAATTTTTATTTAGAAACCAAAAATGAAATTCAAAACAAAAATAAAACTAACATATATTTAACTTTTTATGAGGTGTAAATTTTCTATTAATTATGTGTAAGAATGAGATTGAATTTGAAAATATATTATGATAAAGTTATATTAGTAAGAATATATAACTAAATGAGATTATAAGATATTTATGCATTATCCATTTAAAAATAATTAAACTTGGTTCTGAATTTAGAAAGTATTGGTATATTAATTTCTAAAATCAATAAATTGTCAAACAAATCTTTAAAACATCTTAATAAGTCTTTAAAATTAACTATTTATTATTAAATTAATTTATATATATATAATATTTTCATTTTAATAAAAAAAATATTTTAAATTATTATGAATGCGAATTTATACAATTAAAATGTATTTTCAAATTCTTAATCTTAAAAATTAATATTACAAGGCTTTCGAAATTTAGGAATAATTTAACTGTTTACTCTAAAGATACACAAAAAAGTTTAGTAGCAGTATAATTTAGGGTAAGTATATGATAATATGATAATAATATTAATAAAATAAAATATGAAATAAAGATGTGGTTGGAGTTTGTAAGGTTTCTTGTGAATTAGGACCAATTCGGTTCTTCTCTCTATCGTCTTCTTCCCTTCTTCCATTAGGGTTTCCTCTTCGCACCTTTAGCCCCCAATTTCGCAATCCCTCCATACTTTCTTCTTCTGACAACCTGCGAATTCGAAAGACTTCGACGGCTCCGCCTCATACGGTACAATATTTTGCCCCTTTCTGTGATATCACCGTAAAGGTTCAATTTTGATGCTTTTTTTGGCTACCCTTTATGGTTGGTTGTGTTGTAAAATCTCCGGTTCAGTTTCAGTTGAAATTTTTATTTTATTTTATTCATAACCCCATTGAAAACACCGCAGTTTTGCTCTTATAATGTTTGTGTTTGTCTTGAGTTGCATAATTATATTTTTTAATTGTGTTGGAAGATGTTGTGAGTTTGAGTTTGAAGAAATAGGTTTAAGGGGTTTCGTACTTGTGGCATAGGAAAAGAATTTCAAATATGCTGAGGCCAATTCTGTTTGAATATGTTATTTGAGCTTGCAATATGATATAGGGTTTTAATTTTTGATGCACTATCAGCATAAAATAATTTTATATTATCATTCAATTTAAACCCTGTATAATCCAGTCTTGACTCTCTTTTTTTTTTTTTTTTTTTTTTGGTTGGTCTTTTACAATCATCTTGGAAGTTTGTTGGAGACTTAGGTATGACAATCCTTGATTGGGTGTTGTCTTTTTTTCGATACCCTTTGTTGTACAATTTTTTCCGCCTTATGATATTGGTTAATGATATTATCTTTATTTTCTTAAGTTAATTTTCTAAAGTTAATTTTTGTTTTATTGTCAGTTCTCTTCCTGTCTAGTTATCAATGTTGGCTACTAGTGCAGTGGCATCTTTGCCCAAATTACCACCAGGTACTGATCATTTCTGACTTTTTTTGCATTTCAGTTTAAACTGAGACATTGTCTTTAGATATAGGATTATGAGTTAAGAAAATTACAGTTGCTCATCACTTTTATTTTGCATCAGCATCACAATACCTTCTCAGAGAAATCCTTGGAGCAATATTTTTGATGAATAGTTGGTATCTCGTTTTAGTTTATAAGCTTGTGAGAACTTGGTAACAGAAGTTTTCAGTTGTGGTGATTTCACCAACAAACTCTGAATTTCGATTGACCAATCCCTGGAAACAAATTTAATGCATGCTTCATTGCTTTATGATCCAAGGATAAGCATATCCATGTTTGGAATCTCTTGTTTTTATCCCATCCATCAGCAAGTATGATGATATTAATGATGATCCTACACGTAATTCATGTGTATCTCATGGGTGGTTTTAAAAAAACCCTCGTGAATTAACTTGGGTTATGGGTGGAACCAAATTGGTTATTGGGCTGTAAAAATTGTATCAAGTGTACCCAAAGCTATTCCTGTTATAGGATCATCTTTTTGCCTTTGAAAATTTAAATCTAATTTATTGATTGCCTGAGGGATTGGATTCAGTATGAGGTGAAGGTTTATGCTGTCCCATTGTGCACATTGGTGTAAAATCGACTGCTTTCATACACAATTTTAGATGAAAAATGCTTTCATATGCATTTTTTTCTCTCTATTTTTACGGGGTTACAGTAATCAATGTATCCCTCTCCATTCCCTAATGCCATTCTATTTTTTCCTACTAAAGGTGGGATTGATCCAAAGTCCTTGTACAGTTGTAGTCTCCAAAATGATTGAAAAGTTAATTCAATTTTCTACATTTCATGATAGTAAAGTGGTTGTATTTTATTGTAACAGTGAGAAGAGGTGGCCACCGCATTGAAGAGAATGTCATTACGACGTGTAGGTTACCAAGACCATTACAGACAATCAATAATTCAATATCTTCAAGTTGTACGCAGTTTCCATTTGGCACAAGAGCTCATTCTATTCGGACAGCAACTATAATATGTGCTGCAGCTTTGGTAATGTTCTTTACTGTCTCAAGTTCATATTTGATGCTTTCCTTACCTCACATTCAAGTAGTATATTAGTTTCCTAACTTCGAATACATTTTTCATATTGATATTGATTATACCACTTAAAGAAAACTTCATTAGAGACAAATTTTCTTTGATGGTCATTTAGGACATTTTGGAGACCTGAAAGGAATGACTGGAAAAGTTCATATTGTATATTGATTTTGACTTGTGGCATACTGCTTTAAGGCATTAAATGTCATACTTAATGTGCATCCAAGATTTACATGTTTTGATGTGTTATCTATGTTTTCTGTCTAAATCTTTCTAGGCTGCCTTGTGGTTAGGCATGGCAACGGGGGCGGGGCGGGAGCGGGTTTTACGTTCCCCGCCCCCGCCCCCGCAAATTTAAA